CGACTCTCTAACCATTAGGCCACGACTTCCCCACTGGGATATCTGAAAATCCTTAAAATTAAGTTTGCCTGAGAATTATTGTTGTCATTGAATAAGCATGGATGAATGGTTCTCACGTGTCAGGTGTGCTCCTGCCTCTATGTGGTGCCTCCCTTTCATTGGATCTCTGCTGTGTGGATGCTGATGTGGGCAGAGGAGAAGGGAGAGAAGAGGAGGCAGGCGCCCTGAAACCGTGCACGCCGTTATCAGAGACACTCTTGGTGATGGGCCGGTAGGTGCTGGTTTTAGGTGCAGGATGGGCCTGAACAGCATTAGGTGCAGCATGCTTATCTGAAAGAAATAATAACAAATATATAATAATAAAAATATAATATTTTAATTTAAATAAATAAATAAACAGTACCCTATTTTTATGGATTTTTTTAATTTTATTTTTTAGTGTATTAGAATGATTTCTGAAGGATCATGTGACACTGAAGACTGGAGTAATGGCTGCTGAAAATTCAGCTTTGCTATTACAGGAATAAATTGCATTTTAAAATATTTTTAAATTGAAAATTGTTATTTTAAATTGTGATAATATTTCACAATATTGTACAATATTTTTTAAAGTGTTATAATTTTAAACGTCTCATATGCTTACCAAGGCTGCATTTATTTGATATGGTAAAATGTTTTATACAAAAATGCAGTTTAAAAACTTAATGTATTTTTGCATCAAAATTATATTGTTTCAAATAAACGCAGCCTTGGTAATCATAAGGGACTTATAAAGCATTAAAAATGCTTAATTATTCAAATCTTTGGGCCAGCGGTGCATATATAACTGTTTTATTTATACAGAAATATATTTAATTTAAATGATAAAATCATTTGTAATAAACTTGAATTTAGTTATTCAATTAATTTCTTATTACTTTTTTTGAAACATTAAAAATTAAAATGATGCATAAAATGAATAATGCATAATTATTGTTATTACTATGGTAAGTACATGTCACATGTAACATGTAACAAGGACACTAAAATAAAGTGTTCAAAAAAAAAGAAGATAATTATACATATTGCTATTGGTTCATATTAGTTTTATTGCTTCTTCTCGTTTTGATTATTTGGTATCAACATTATTTGGTAATAAAGAAATACTGAATCAAAGAGAGACCTTGTTTGGAAATAGTTGTAGCAGTACTTGTAACAGGATCTGTGGCAGAATGGGACCCAGACCATTCCTTCTCTGTGAAAACAAATATGATTAACATGGATAAAATATATCATAAACTGGAACTGCATTTTAAACGTAGTAACATAAACTCATTTGTAAGCAGGATGTGGGAGTAAGACAATTAAAAAGACATAAGATGCTAAATGAAGGGTTTGATCCTGTGACCTCTGTAATCTCTCAGGCAAACCCCCTGACAGACCATTTCCAGTAATGAACACACTTGTAATCCACAACCTGCTGAGTAAAGCTCTTTTATTGTCACTTCTTTTTAGGTGGCCCTAGGATGCCCTTCTCTGCAAAAAAATTTTTTTTTTTTAAACTATCCCCTTAGCAGAAAGGTCCATAATCAAACAGAAAATAGAGGGCTTTGTCTTGTCTGACATAATTAAAATCACAATAGCAATGAGATTCTGTATATTCTTTGCATTCATAAAACCAAACAGTAAATATCGGTCACTTACAGCATAAAATAATAAACAAACCAACAGACACTGTAATCCTGTTTAGTCTGCAAAAATGTTTTCCTTCCCTTTCTATGTTGCATACATGCTCTAAAAATAGCTTTCAAAGTGAAAAAGCAGATATTTAACTAAAAATAAGTTGGTATGTCAGTGTTTGACTAAAAATAATCCTTCCAATAACCACATAATATGTTAACAGGGAATGCAAAGCATGCATTTTTAAAGTAATGAAGGTAAATATAAAAAAAATCCAGTCCTACCTGGTTTAGGCACCACATGAATCTGTTTGAACATGGTCTTGTACCAATCTTTTGGCCGGTCAACAGTCTAAAACAACACACAAAGCAAGCATCTTTTAGATTACAGGCCTTCCCAGCTCTTACAGATTAAGATTCCAAGGTCCAGATGCAAAGTTGAGAAAACAAATAGCAACCCGAATGTGCTCCATGACCTTGAGTCCAAAACTCTGGATCAAAAAGGCTCCTATAAAAATGCTGATGCAACTGGCCTCTCCACGTGAAGCTGAGAGAGACACATCACTGTCTGTCTGCTGGCCCATCAATGATGCTGAGCACAGCTGCCCCTGTTTCCCTGGGGCTAAATTAAACTCTGTGTGGGAAAATGCAATTTAGTGCACAAATCAAAACAACCAGTCCCATGTGACCAGAGACCGACTGAAGATTAATTCTGGAATTAACAATTATAGGTATGCACTTCCGACAATGTCTCCAGAGCCAATAAAGAGTCAGCAAGGCCAGCTTTCAGGCTTTTAGGCAAACATGTGTATAGCATTTTTATGCTGTTGATTAACTCTAAACAGGTCTGTAGTAGTTACAGTATGATATTCTCCAGTAACATATAGGTGTCTCTTCATCTTTTGCCGCTTTTATGTGCCAGAGATTTATTTATAATAAAACAAACAGACTAAAAGTCATTTTTGTTATAAAAATAACACATTAAAGCTGTCTTGAAAACTTTCTGCCATGCGTTCATCGTCATATTTGTTACTTTTCAAATGCATTGTTATAGATTATAGATTTTTATTGTATCCATATCCCAGATCCAGACTTTCAACTATGAAAATATTTATAAATTATTACATGATTAAAACAATGATTATCTAAAAAGTAAATTAATCATAAACCATTTTGATATTTTTTGTTAAAATGATTTATATAAATCTAGAAATATCATTTGTGAGCATAATATTTTTTATTGTGCATCATTTGCAATTAAGGTGTAATTTTGTCAAATTATTAAGTGTAAAAATATCATTTATTTCTTATTTATTTGTGTATTTAAGATACATAAAACAGTACCTAAATGCTAGCTATTTTACTGCAAACATGTAATTTTCATCACAAAATGCTGTAAAACAATACATTATTTGTGGTAAGAAAATACATTGTGGTAGAAATGTTCTTAACGTTTATAAAAATGTACAAAAAAATGTCCACCATAAATGCACACAGTTAAAGAAAATATAATTAATTTGCTTAATAATTTGCTTCTCTGACTTGAGTGCATGACAAAAATGTAAACGATAATACCAAAGGATTATATTTATTCTTAGCTGCACAGTATAAATATGGAAACAAAAGATTAACATCCTGGAACAGCATTCACTCACCGTCAGTATGGCAGCGGGAATCCCGGACTCATCCACAGGACCGATGCCAGTATAGAGCGGAGCTTTCCCTGTAGTTTCTTTCCTGTCAGTCTGTGTTGCTCGTGCAGGAGGATCCACTCTGGCGTAGATCGGAGTGCTAGACTCATAGGCTGATGGATTCATAATTAATTATAACTAGTTATGATTAATTATTCATATTTCCCATGAGCTGATTCGTTACATTAATAATTTGCTTCTCTGACTTGAGTGCATGACAAAAATGTAAACGATAATACCAAAGGATTATATTTATTCTTGGCTGCACAGTATAAATATGGAAACAAAAGATTAACATCCTGGAACAGCATTCACTCACCGTCAGTATGGCAGCGGGAATCCCGGACTCATCCACAGGACCGATGCCAGTATAGAGCGGAGCTTTCCCTGTAGTTTCTTTCCTGTCAGTCTGTGTTGCTCGTGCAGGAGGATCCACTCTGGCGTAGATCGGAGTGCTAGACTCATAGGCTGATGGGAGGAAGACAGGGTCAGGTTGGGGGGTGTGTGTTTTTAGTAATTCCCCTGGAACTAACCAACATTCCCATGTCAGTAACTGAGAAAAACAGCCAGGTCAGGGATGCAGTGCAGACTGTAATTCCAAATCAGGAGAAATAATCCATAAATATGTTGATTCCAGCATTCTGGCATAGAATAATAAACACAGAAAGCAGCTCTCCACATACAGTCCGGCATGTATGGGCATTCAGACCGAAGCCTTTTGGGGAAAAACAGCAAAATGGGCTCTAGTTCAGAGACAAATGCCAGCCTCACGCACACAGATGCTCTAATCCCAGTGTCTCAGCTCCTCCCTCACCCCAACCACTCCGGCACTCAGATTTGAGCTTAATCCCCGGCATTTGCCACGTGGGATTAGAGAGATCGCGGACGCACACTCAGAGCGGACCAGTCGAGATACGCTTAGTGTCACCCGGGTGGTAAACACCGCTGCAGTCAGGTCACGCTTTCTTACTCATTAGTACTTCATTAGAGTCTGGCACATCACGCCAGTGACTTATCAGAGACCAGAGAGAACATTTGCACAGCTGTACTGCAACACTTATGACATACATTTGGCTGTACAGATATTTCCAGGACAATAAAAACACTATTCTGGAATAAGTATTTTTATAGCTCTGTTACCTCACTCATATCATGTCTTTGATTATTTAATAAAGCCATGTTCACAGCTTATGCTACTTATTACGGCTGGGTATCAATACAGATTTCCTGATTCGATCCGATTCTAATTCACAAACTAGTCGCAATTAGATTTTGATGTGCTATATTTCAGTTATAATGTCCATTTTGCTAACATATAAAATAAATTTTCCTTCTGCTAATGCTGTAAATTACACATGTGAGTGTTTCCGACTGATTAAAACTAATAGTAAGTATTCAAATTGCTTCAGGACTCAACTAAAAAGGACTGGCTAGTGCGAGTCATTTGTTTGTCAATCAGACTCCACTGGTCACGCAGAAGGTTTTTGATTCACTAAAAAGGACTGGCTTATGAGAGTTATTCATTCATGAATCAGACCACACTGGTCATGCTTTATGTCTTTGACTCACTAAAAAGAACCAACTTAAGAGAATCATTTGTTTGTGAATCAGACTGCACTGGTCATGCTGTATGTTTTTGATTCACTGAAAAAGATGACTTAAGAGAGTCATTTGTTCATGAATCAGACCACACTGGTCATGCCGTATGTTTTTGATTCACACACACACACAAAAAAAACTTAAGAGTCATTTGTTCATGATTCATGAACAAACATGATTCATGTTTTTGATTCACTAAAAGGATTTGCAACCAGCAGCGGGGAAAATGTGGGATTCTGTGAATCAGTATTGGGATTGTTTAAAGAAAAATTAAGATTTATTCGAAAACAACTTTTTTCCAGCCCTATTACTTATTTACTACTATTTGAAAGAAAATGTTATAAATGTAATATATACACACATATAGCCTGTGGCTGTGGTTAAATTGATACAAAGTGTTTTTAGCAATTACCCAATTCAGTTTCCTTGTTCTTACCAATGATGAAATCAATAATGACGGTGAACGTCACTGACACAAGAGCATGTGGAAGTGTTAGATTAGCATCAGTACTCACCAGTGCTTCTAGCCTGCTGCATGGCTGTAATACTATGGCTCAGTGAAGGAGGACGGGGGTATGTTGAGGGAGAAAAGGGTCTTTGGAAGTGACTACGAGGGCTTGCTGGCACACTCAGACCCCCGTTCACAGTCATCTGGCCCTGTATAACACAACAGAAAGACCCTGTTAACTGAACAAACATCTTTAGGTATAATAAATTACATTGAGATTGGACTGTTTTGTCACAGATGACATCTGTTAGCCTTAATGAACGTTGACAGAGGATAAAGAATGGAATAACAAACAATGAAAACAAATCCCCCACAGATCTGTGGATTGACTAGTAAAATATACATAAAAATACAGTACCCACCCACTGGGCAGATCAAAAAAAAAATATATATATATTTTTTTTTTTACATTTTCAAATTTAATAATAAATTTGGATTTATTTATTGATTTCCAAGACAAACAATAGTTAATATTAAGCGTTAGTATACCAAAAGAGATACCACAGGAACAGTACAAGAAGTCTCAACAAAACCATGTTCTCCTGCACCTGAAGTTTTTGACAAAGACAGTGTGTCATACTGAGAATCTCAGCATACTGTTTGGCAAAAGGTGTTAGTGAAGACCCTCGGGACCCTTGATTTGATGTTTTTCTAAAGAATATGTTAGTCTTGGTATAACCCCAGATGTTACACAGAGAAGAAATGGTGAAACCGTTAAATGTGAACAGTGGGCAAGTGATATTGGTGTCTGTTAAACCAGCCCCTAAACATGCAGAGCAATGAAACCAAATTAGAAACAATAAACAATAAGTTGTCAAATTGATGAGAGGAGAAAAGAAGAGATAATGAATGAAAAAAAGCATTTGTACTGTACAATTAAAGGGGACATATCATAAAAAAGGGTGAGACAGGAGATGCAAAAAAATTGGTGCTAAAAACATTATAAGTGGACTTATATATATATGCTACAATTTGGGGTCTGTAAAATTTTTTAAATGTTTTTGAAATAAGTCTCTTTTGCTCACTAAAGCTGCATTTATTTGATCAAATATATAGTCAAATCATAGATATTACAAAATATTATTATAATTTCAAAAATCAGTTGTCTACTATAATATGTAATTTATTCTTGTGATGGCAAAGCTCAATTTTCAGCAGTCATTACTCCAGTCTTTTCTTAGAAGTTGAACTGGCTGGTTGTGCTGCTTAGTACTTTTGTACTTTTACTTGTTACTTTTTTTTTCAGAATTCTTTGATCATTAAAAGAAAAGCTTTTATTTTAAATAGAAATCTTTTGTCTTTACTGTCAATTTTGATCAATTTCCTTGCGTCGTTGCCGAATGAAAGTATTGATTTAAAAAAAAAAAAAACTTCATGACCCCATTTTTTTAAAACAGTATACAACAAATGTTGAATATGTCCCCTTTAGAAATAGAGGTACAGTAGGAATCCTTATGAAAACTGACAAAGAAAGAAGCAGTAAGTTACAGACGGTGAACAGTTACATGAGCGGTGCTAGCTGGAGGGGAGTGTAACACCATGTTGACTGTGACCGCACTCATCGGGCTGAGGGTTGGAGAAGGGGTACGAGAGCCACCCTCTGGGCCTAGTCCACACGCCCTCAACTCCTCCAGCACTGCTGTGGACGCTTCGCTCTGAGTGCGGGAAGAGCAGCGGCTCTGCCCCAGCGGAGGCTCCGAGCCGGGAGAGGGAGGGCCTGGAGAAGGGGTCTCGGGGTGAAGGTCAGGTCTGATGAAATCGAGGGAGAGTCTGAGCCGGTTAGGTGGTGACTGGGAGGTCAGTGCTGTTCCGGGATAGGCTTGTTTGAGGAGGGCTGGCACCTCAGGCTGAATGACAGAGAGGAGAGTGGCACAGATGAGATTCAGCAGCTGGGCACAGCGCATGTGAGAGACGTAGTGATGAGATGCTGCTGACGGCTGTGCGTTAGAGAGGAAGGAGGTGTTACAGACGTGAGATCAAAATGTTATTCCAGTGTTGCATTTGAGCATAATTGGAAAAGAAAAAAGCTCATAATGTAGGAAAACCAATTCTAGGTTTTTAAAGTCACAATCATCTTGTAGAAAATATGTACATGTATAAAAAATACAGTATATATATAATACCGTACACGACTGTTTGAAAGTTTGAGGTCAGTAAGATTATTAAATGTTTTTGAAAGATGTATCTTATGCTCACCAGTATTATTACAGTTTAAAATAACTGTTCGCTATTTTTTATTTTCAGGATTCTTTGATGAACAAAAGTTCAAAAGAACAGCATTTAATTGAAACAAATCTTTTGTAACATTATAAATGTCTTTATGCTCTCTACTTTAAATGTAATTAATGTGTAATGCTGAACAGAAGTATTAATTTCTTGCAAAACGAAACAAAAAAAATGTACTGACTCTAAACTTTTGAACGGTAGTGTATATTTATTTGTATAAGCCAAAATACTGTGCAGTTAGCAGAATAAATGTTGTTTGAAAAGTGATTCAAGTCCATTGCCAGTGCAATTCAAGATTTTACCATCAAAATAAATTTAAAAAAAAGGAAAGATCAACTGTTCGCTATTTTTTATTTTCAGGATTCTTTGATGAACAAAAGTTCAAAAGAACAGCATTTATTTGAAACAAATCTTTTGTAACATTATAAATGTCTTTATGCTCTCTACTTTAAATGTAATTAATGTGTAATGCTGAACAGAAGTATTCATTTCTTGCAAAACGAAACAAAAAAAATTTACTGACTCTAAACTTTTGAACGGTAGTGTATATTTATTTGTATAAGCCAAAATACTGTGCAGTTAGCAGAATAAATGTTGTTTGAAAAGTGATTCAAGTCCATTGCCAGTGCAATTCAAGATTTTACCATCAAAATAAATTTAAAAAAAAGGAAAGATCTCCTTTTACAATGACATGAACCTGAATATGCAACAGCAAAATGGAAAAACAGGATTAATTATGTTTGCTAAGGTACAGCATGGTGTAGGGAAGGTTGTTATTAAGCTAATGCATATATGGTTATGAAATCCGTAACATATACCACTGGAGGGGCTGTGGATGGCAGTGGAGGGCAGGGGCATGAGCTGCTATCCAAGAGGTCCATCCTTTTAGGAGGGGTAGGGGGTCTCAAAGACAGTGCCTGTGTGTGCCGTCCCGATATCTGAGGCCTAGGGTTAATGCGGATGTAGACGGAAGCTACGTCTCTCTCCAGCTCCCTAGATGGAGGGTGTAAGTAGGGCTGCTCTGCTTGTAAAGAGCATGAGGTTTGGTCCGCTGTGGACAGCAGTCTGTTGGAGTGGACACTATGCTCTTGTGCCTGATTGAGGAGAGTGGGCATTGGGATATTAGAGCACAGCTCAGATACTGTTGTTCTGTAGTGGTTCTCTCATTGAATAAGAGGGTGTGGACATGGTTGCCTCTCTGAGATAAACAGTTGAGTGTTATAGTGAGGACAGGCACAACTGAAAAGTTTCTCTCAGGCACTTGTGTGACAATGAGAACACAAACATTACAAATAAAAGTACAAGTGAGGAGAGAAAGTAGATTAAATAATATTAGAATTCAGAAACTCTCCGCAATTGGAAAGGAAACGGAAATGAACTTTTTCGATATGGTTTAAAGTCAGTAAGCTTCGCTTCAAAATAAAAACAAACAGGCACTTTCCATAAGGTGCAAACTAGGACCTGAACCTCTCCATCATCTTCATCATCAACCTCTTTTTTTATTTTTGCAACCCTGCTTGATTTATTTATTTATTCTTACCAGCATTTGGTAGTATATAAAGTAAAAAAAAATACTTTTTGAATTTGAGATATTTTATTTATTTATTTCATTATATTCATTAAGTAAATTCAATAATTTATAAATAAATAAATATATATATAAATATATTATAATATAATATTGTTTTGGTCCAAGCATTTATTAGTAAACTTGTATTTACGTTATTTTTTAAATGTTTATTTAGTATTTTTATTTCTCACAATAACTTGGGTAACAGCAGGGCTCCAGACTCATTCTTCCCACTGGTCACACTTTTGCGACTAACTTTTTTAATTTATTTATTTTTATTATTTTTTTTGCGCTACAACATAGGTTTAATCAGTGCATGCTGATGAACTTTTATCATAGTTTATAGTTTTATGGAAACGAAAGTGGTTAACATTCAACCCCTTCTTTTTCATCAGTAGTATTATTTGTGATTTGAATTTTGTGAACAGGAGTTCTTCTTTTGCTATGTTATAAGCCGGGCTTTGGGTGCTTTTACTTTCGCAATCGCGATCTTGTTGTCACGTTTTACAAGAAAAGATAGTTGTCTGTTTTGCTTACATACATCTACACACCTTTCCCTTTTTAAGACTAAAACAAAAGATGGATTCATTGTTATTCTTAATTAAAAAGCACAATGCAGTATTATTTACCCACTAATAACTTACAGAACATTTAGCAAACACTGAGGAATCAAATAAAAAAATAAAATAAAATAAAATAAAAGAGAGCCTCCATAGCGTAACGTGAGGTAAACAGCAAAGATAACAAGCTTTTCAAAATGAAAACAAAAAGAAAAGTAAAACTAAGCTTGCTGTCGGTGACAGTGCTTGCATGTTTTTTTTCCCACAAGAATACCGACATGTTCACGTTCACCTTCTCTGGTTTAAGAAGCGGTCTTTTACTTTACTTTAGCTCGAAAACCATCCATCGTTTCTTCAATATTCACGTCATTTTTGCTGCGCGCACCTTCGCGCTTGTGCGGATGCGGCAAGTATAAACCAGGCTCTACACTCTGAGCGCTGCGCAATTCAAACGAGTAGCATGGTTTCGTTAAGCGACAACAGAGACTGACTGGATGCGCCGTTAACGAAATCGCCTGTGCATTAATATACAATTTTTTTTTTAATTATTACATTTTAGCAGTCGCACCAGCAGGAAAAATGGTCGCAAAATGCAGCTAGCATATTTGGTCGCAGTCTGGAGCCCTGACAGGGTTTAATGCTTAATACATATACTGTATATATATATATATGTATAGTTGAGAGCTTTGCTTTGTGCTCAGTTTTCAAACACTGGAAATGGATGTGAACGGTACAGTTAAAAATGTCATTAATAAAACCTGTCAAATGGACTTCCACAGACATTTCCTGAGGAAGGAAAACCTCTAGCAACAGTAAGGATGAGTAAACACAGCAAAACATACTGGTGTGGGAGACTTTTTATCCTGAAAGGTGGGTCTGACACTTCTGTAGCCTTTAGCTGCCAGAGAAGAAGAGCACACGTCACCATTTCTCAGACCATCACTGGTGCTGCTGCCGGGCCTCCACAAATCTGACAAGAGACAAACAAAACACTTCAAAGTGTTTCATATTCATATATACAAAATATTTGACCACAGAATGCTACTGTTGATTATTAAGAATGAGGAATTCTGAGAAAACTCTGCAAGAACAGATACATTTTTCCAAAGCATGTTTTATTTGTAAAAATGTTAAATAAATAATTAATAATAAAATAAATAATAAAAAATAATAATAAAGGTTGCTTACCTGAATCTTTAGATTGTGATTCAGAGTCTGCATGGGTTAAAATTTGATTAAAAAAAAAAACTGTTAAACACTATCAAGGGATCTCCTTTTCACATAGTGCCTACTGCAAATGAGGTATAAGATGTTCACTCATTAGTGATTCATGTTTTTAGTGGACTATGTGTGCATAAATAACATGCTTAATTTATTCCAAACCACTGCTTCAGCTTTTAAAACAACCGATGAATGGAAGAGAGAAAAATATATGACAGCATGAAGTAAGACAGATTTATTTATAAAGGAGGTTCCCCTTAACATTTTACAAAGAAAATGTTACTGTTTATAATTTGACATAATAACCCTTGCTCATTAAGCGCAGTGCTAAATGAACAGCGGACTAACTCTGTCCTGAATGAGTTGTGTTCGTTCAGTTTGCTCACTCCTGCAGCACCTCGACCGCCCGCAGACTGATTAAACAATGGAGAATATGTGTGTGTGATGTCATAGTCCGTGAGACTGCTCAAACAAAAAGGGTCACCCCCAGAGGAAACTGTGCCGAGAGAGACAGGGGAAAAAGCCTGAAGTATACAATTGTTGCCATGGAGGTGCACAACTATGGCAACGATCTGGCCACGGTGAGCTGCTTTTTCCCTTTAAGCAAAGGAAAGGAGAGCTACCGCTCTCAAACATTGGTTAAGGAGCTGCAAGCACAAGAATGAGACGGCGAGCAAGAGTACAGGAGAGAAAGAAAGAAAGGCAGTGAGGGAGGGAGGCTGTGGTAGGACATAAGATGCACAAGACAAAACACAGATGTGGAATCAGTGATGCTGAGTGCAGTGAAGAGGAATTCCTGCTCGCGGTGTCTGAGTAAACACATCGTCACTTTTAACACCAGCAGCAATATCTTCAGCTCCACTGCTCACATATAATGCTTATAATAAACAGGCAAACATGAATATGAATATGAGTGTGATCTGGTTCCTGATACCTGTGAGCGTGTATAGGTTTGGTGAGCTCTGGATTCTCTTCATGGGGGTTAGAGTGAGTGAAAATGTGGCGCTTTTGTGGACATGTCCTCCACTGTCTGTGAAAAGCGCAGCAGCACATGCAAACACAAATACACATGCATCAGTACTGCTGCACGGCAAGATAACTGTGACTCAGCAAGCAGAGCAATGTGAAATGTCCTTAGCAACACAACAATATACATTACAAAATTAATTCACATGCCAGGATGGATTTTTTTGCGTGATGCACATGCTTGGTATACTGTATCTGGGCATGCTGAATGGGTGTGGGTGGATGTATTGTGGTCTGACTGACTAAACATTTTAAACTGCTTCTTTTCAGTGTCTCTGTGAAGGGTTTCCACACCTTTCCATGACTGCCTTTCCATTTCAATTAGTGATTACTAGAGACTGCACTCGCAAATTGCAATTTCTAACAGATGAAATGAAACTTAGAATATACAAAAATGTATAGTGTATTGACTATAGAAATTAACTTTTTAAAATGTCTTAATTACATGTCTTTTCAACACCTGGAAATCGCTTTTAAAATTCACAGATATTTTTCCCTGCATGGTAACTTTTCTGGGGTCAGTAAGATTTTTATTTATTTATTTTTTATGAAAAAGAATACTTTTATTCAGTAAGGATACATTAAATACATTGTTTACCTTGTTACAAAAAATAAAATTTCAAATAAAAATTCTGTTCTTTTCACCCTTCTAATTATCAAACAAATGTATCAGTTTCCACAAAAATATTAAGCAGCACAACTGTTTTCAACAGTGACATTAAGGACTATCTATAATGTTACAAAAGATTTCCATTTAAATTTAATGCTGTTCTTTTGAACTTTCTATTCATCAAAGAATTCTGAAAACAGCACAACTGTTTTCAACATTGATAATAATAAAAAATGTTTCTTGAGCAGCAAATCAGCATATTAGAATGATTTATTTTGCCATCACAGGAATGAATTATGTTTTAAAATAGAAAAGTTATTTTAAATTATAATCATTTTTCACAATATTACTGTATTTACTGTATGTTTGATCAAATAAATGTGTTGTGGAGCATAAGAGACTTACAAAACTTACAAAAGTGTTTTAATGATCCCAGACTTTTGAATAGTAGTGTATATTGCAGAGTATCAAAATAATAGAACAGTATATCTATTCAGAATATAAATAAAATACCATCACATCTAATATGTGGCAGAAATCTTAGTGCGTATTAGCTGTAAGTGTTTTAAAAAAGTCCTGGCATCCAAGGTTGCCGAACCTAAAAGTGAGAACACCACGAGACTATTTTGTGGATTGACAGGGTGGGGTGTTAGCACTGCCAGATATGGTCTGATGGGTTTCCTTTTCTTTGACAGCTATACCTCTGGATGTCAAAAAGGCAGTTTGGATGCCAGAATCTTTGTCAGACTCTGAAAAGACAGTTCTCAGAGAAAGACAGTCAAGAACTAAGAACACCCCCTGCACAAAATCACATTGCTCTGCCCTACAAAAACAAGTCCTGTTGAGCCTGCATGAAGTGAGAGACACATTTTCAATCAATTGTATGTAAATTATTTACTTGTTTTTTTTGTTTGTATATGTTGTTGTGCTGGTAGACAGTGAATTTCTTCTCATTTTTTTGTTTTTCGAGAGCACAAAAGCAAGACAAAATTACTGATAATGCATGGCGCTATGTGGGCTTCTGTATGTGTCACTATAGACTTGAAATATCTGTATTGTAGTCATTATCATGCCAATTTATCAAAATTTCTCAAAACTTCAGTTCCATATTGAAAATCGATATAGACATAGATATGGACTACAGCTGAAACGCTGCCTATTCATTTAGCAGTGATTCAAGAAAACTCAAGCTTATATATATATATATATATATATATATATATATTAGCAAGGATGCATTAAATTGATCGAAAGTGACATTAAGGACTATCTATAATGTTACAAAAGATTTCCATTTAAATTTAATGCTGTTCTTTTGAACTTTCTATTCATCAAAGAATTCTGAAAAACAATGCATTATGGTTTCCACAAAAATATTAAGCAGCACAATTGGTTTCAACATTAGTAAAAATGAGAACTGTTTCTTAAGCAGTAAATAAACATATTAGAATGATTTCTGAAGGATCATGTGACACTGAAGACTGGAGTAATGATGCTGAAAATTCAGCTTTGCTCACAGAAATAATCTACATTTTGAAATATATTTAAATAAAAAACAGTTATTTTAAATTGTAATAATATTTAACAATATTACTGATTTACTGTCAAATAAATGCAGTCTTGGTCAGCGTAAGAGACTTTTAAAAACATCATTCCAGCAAACTGAAACTGATTTGAACTTACCTGTGTTCATGTTGAAGATCTCTCCTTCTTGTGGTGTCTTGATGTCACACAGTCCTGAAAGACATATCATTAAGAATCAGCGACCCATACTCCTTGGTAAGTAAAAAATTGATTTATCCGTGTGTAGAATATGTATGAGTGCAGGTAGCGTGGTACAGGCGTCCCATCTCTCCCTGGCACGCCAGCATGCTAGCAAGTGTCTAATGTGGCTGGTTAACATCCCTCTTGGGATATGAGGCCCAAGAGTGAAAGGTGATACAAGCCTGGCGTTTCAGCTCAGAAACACGCAGCACGGTATCAAAATACACACCATACATACACATATATCCGCACGCATTCTCAGATCTTACACATGACCACTTTTGGTGTGTCAGAGCTTAACATCTCTTTGAATTCGTTGCCAGCAATGCACAGCGGTCACACACTCATAGTGGGGCTATTGTAACTAATTAAACCCGTTTAGTTTGACCTAGATTGCTAATTTTTCAGTGATGGATTAACAGCCCATGTGACTCTACTCCGAAAATATCTGATTTATTTTAGCACAAGCTGAATATTTCAGGGATGGTCTATGATAGGAACACTGTCATTTAATCTCATTATTACATTACTTAACTCATTTGCAGAGGCAAAGTGCTGCATAAATGTCAGATAGGAGACACCGTGAGCGTGTGCTTATGTGCAAGACGCATGTCTCGCTTTCAGAGAGCCACGGCAGGCACGTGTGCACTTGTCACACATGTAGACCACCCGTCGCTCAACCCACAAAGTGTGCTTCACCTGAGACCATCATTTGATAGTGGTATGCTGTGCATTCATAGATCATGACAAGAGAGAGGCATTCAAATTTGCTATTCTAAACCTTCGTATCAGGTTACATTTTAAAAGGATAAATGAAATTTCTCATTTACTCCCCTTCATGCCATTCCAAACCTTTCTTTCTTTCATTCTTTCGTTAGGCATTCATGCTGCTCTTTTCCCATGTAATGAATGTGAAAGGGGACCAAAAATGATGGAAAAGCACCATGAAAGCATCATAAAAGAAGTCCATCAGACTTAAATTCCAAGAATATGCTCATATTCAAATTTGATGTTGTAATCGGTTGTGTGTAACATGAGTCAAACACGAATCAAAGCTGACTTGATACATCTTGATGCACTTTATAAATGTAAACAAACATCAATAAGATTTAAGAGATACAGCAGAGGAAAATATTATGATTCAATTACAACTTCCAAGTACTGTTATTTTGGTATAATTTATATACTAATATACTATTTATTAATATTCTGAATTAGCTTTTTTATATTTTCATTTTTTATTTACATTTTTAGTCATTTAGCTTTTTCTTTTTTTTATATAAATTTTGCTTTAATTTGTATTTATTTCAGTTAGTAATTTAGCAATTTTGGTAGTTCAACTTATTTTATTTTCGTTAGTTGCTAATGCAAGATTTCTCATTTCTAATTTATTTGTACACTAATATAGGGTACAACGGGGCTAAAGGCGCCCTGGGGTAAAAGGCGCCTTTGATATTATTTTCATCTAAACCACTAGATGGCACAAAAACGTGGCGTAGCACTTTCCAAAACATACGCTTTTCAAGATGCACGTGTATAATTGTCTGATCCTTGATGCGATCGCGTGCAGCAGCGCAAAGTTAATTCTGTGCTTACTTGATCTAATAATTTGTTTTTTAAAATGTTGTAGATTTAAGTAGCAAATGAGAATCGCTAAAATTAATGCATATATTTTGAGACAAAGGTCTTCTTTATGATTTTCAGTGTAATCATATCATATAATAAAATATCATTTGTTGTTACTACTGTTAATATATATAAAATTATTATTAGATCTCCTTCAGTACTTTCAGAATCTTTACTTATTAAAATTATTTTTGTTTCTGTATTTTAAAATATATTTTTTATATTAACATATTTTAATGACAGTATATTTATTGAACAAAAATTAATTATTTTATTTTTCAAAATAAGCAGAAAACAGTACAAACTTTGCTAAAGTGATTGTTTTGAACAAGTATTAACTTAGACATTATTAAAAAAACATTATTTTAGCTGAAGTATTTGTATCAATACTAGTGGTCGACCGATATGGGTTTTTTGACAGCCGTTGCCGATATCTTGGAAAGCAGGGTGGCCGATGTAATGAATTTACTCATTTGTAAGGGAATTAATTATTATTAATTCATTCAGTCAACCTGATTAAAGCTGAATTCAAATCTGATAGTCTACACTTTAAATCAAGGGTCGTCCAGCGAGCCGGTGATTCTTAGTATATTTTAACAATTTGAATATCTGTATTCTCCCTGGCCACGGGTTAATTAAATTATAATAATTTGTAAGCTCTTA